TCTATCTGTAATTCAGTGATTGTAATGAAGCTCACAGTTGTGCAGTCAAGCCAGTGTCAGGGTTCACCGGTCAGTTTTCTCTCGCGTTTCCCCAGTTGTAAGCAATGATTTAGGGTCTGCTCTGTTTTGATGAGCTCGCAGTGTCATGGTGGCCGTCAGGAGCCCCAGTTGCATTGTTACATTGCCATTTCCCTGTGGCATCTGAAATGTGTAGAATTCCAGCAAACCCAATAAGATATCAGGATTGAAAAAGGCCAGTCTCACCTCTATTTTAGCACCTTCCATTAACAAAGTCTGTTCCTCTCTGGCAGATTATTCTGACTCGATGTAATGTGATTAACGGTATCGGTGGACTTTATCTGCTGAGTGCAGATACCCTCTGCATAGTTTTTTGCCTATATCCAAATTGGGGAAAAGGGCATAGGCAGGCATCAATGCGGCAGCATTTAGTTCTGCCTACCGAGCCGGTGTTCATTAGATGAGCCCCTGGGGAACTCCTCCCACAGTCTTCTGTGTCTCTGCGGGATACAGACTGATTGATTACAGTAGGAAGTGCAGCTCGTTAAACTTGATATAAAGTGCAAGCGTGCAGTTCTGGGGAGGACAGTCAGTGTCCCCACCCCGCCGTAGACCACCCCCCAGCCCACACCCCACCCCTCACCCTCCTGAGGCTTTGCGCCAGCAGTAGTAGTCTCCTCGAGCTGGGTCGAGGGTCACAATACGACCGCCTGTGTGGTCCCTCAATGCGCCGGGAGGCATCCAGTCCTTTTCGATGACATTCACAAGGTGTCAGGGGCTGGATCGGATTAAATGTCAGCCAGCGCCTCACTGAAGGGCGGCCGCACAGGTCAGCCTCTGCTCGGAGCGACAGGAGTACGTGTCTCTGTCTGATGGGTAATGCTGCAGTCTGCAGAGGACTACTTACTGACCTGTACCCTCCTAGTGTGTGTGTGTGTGTGCGCGCGCGTGTGTTTGTGTGTGTGCGCGTTTGTGCGTGCGTGTGTGTGCGTGTGGGCATGCGTGTGCGTGTGTGCGCGCGTGTGTGCGTGCGTACGTGTGTGTGTGTGTGTGCGCGTGCTTGGTGTGTGTGTGTGTGTGTGCGTGTGCGTGCTTGTGCGTGTGTGTTCATGAGAGAGAGAAGAGGGAGTGTTTGCATGTATTGCGATTTGTCCCTGCGTCTGTGTCTGTCTGTGTTTATTTTCTTTTGATGTCTGGCTGTTTTTTGTTTATTTTGTCTGCCTGTCTCTGTGCGTTTGTCCGTTGCCTCTCTCATTTTCATTCATCAACAAAATCAGCGGAGGAGAACTCGAGCGAATGAGGGCCAATCCACCCACCTCCTCGCTCGTCCACAAGGCCAGATTTTATCATGGCTGAATAGTGCAGAGAACCCAAAGCGCCTCTTTATTGTGTGCCCTATGGAGCACGTTTAAGACTCATATCCCGCCTCTGAAATAGACGGGGCAATGTTAAAATGGCAATAAAATTATTCCATTGTCAGGGAAAGTTCCCTCAAGTGAATACTAAGACATTAACTGTCTCAGCTGGCAGATAGCATTAATGTAGCAGGACGGCAGAGTTGGCATAGCCCCGAGTCAGCGCTGGAAATTCGCCGATAATGCTCGTTGGTTTGCGTTGAGCTGTCACAGATACCCCACAGCCAGCTGATGGGCATGAGACACAAAGATGAGCTCTTTACATGGCAGGGCTTGTGTTTAACCCCTGCAGTGCTCGTTCTCTGCATCCGAACCCACAGGCTGGTGTCACACACATTAAAGGTTATATTCTCCATAGTGCTTGTCTCATACATTATTACAGTGGCCGGTATTACTTATAGAATGATCGCATGAAATGTGTTGTCCCTCTCGATTAGATGCAGCTCAATCGTTTTGGGTTTGTCTGCGACCGTCTTGTTGTGATGAACAGAATTGACAGTAGACAGCAAGAGCTGGAAACAATATGCAGTTATAGCTGTAATCGTCCTGCAATGTCAGGAGTTTCAGGTTTTTCTTTTGAGAGGGGATCTTGGGACATCGAAACTGGGTGTTAAGAATTATTGTGTGTACAGTGAAGTAGAATTAATGATTAGTTTTTTATACATTAGCATAGAGTCATTTTTCACCACCCATCACTGACACCTTTGACAATGTTATTGCCTTTCCATGCACTTTCGTCTGGAATTTTCCGGTCCCAGTCTAAACTCTGACATGCATTAGGAAGTGTTGATGAATGTTTGCAGTATTTATTTATTTTCAATATAATTGAGCTGTTGGGAAATCTGTGCAACGCGAACTATTGTCCTGCTCTCTCATAAACTGCAGCTGATTAGAAGTGCTCTTTTTTCCTTTGTTCAAATAAAAATCAATCAAACAGTTCATTTCTAAAGAGAGGAAGCCGAGAGGCAGCCATACGTCAGAATTGCCGGACGGGGATTTCACACGTAACGTCTCTGTGGCGCTCAGAGGAGTAGATGGGGTGTCCTTCACATTCAAAGGGCCGCTGACCCTCCTCTGTCTCGTCTGTGCCGGAGTGGCCTCATCTCATTCTTCAGCTGTCCTCTCAGTCCATTCAGCTTGTTATTCACCCACTGTCAACACCTTTAATGTCATGGCCGCCAGCGGAACGTTGCGTCGGCGTTGTTTGGCTTGCAATCGATCCTGGACAAGCAACCTGTTCGCAACTACTAACAAAAGTGGCTGGGACAAATGAGGTGGAGTTTTCTGTGCAGGTTAAAGCGAAGAAGATTCGCGGTGCATCTCTTGAGAGCCTGCTGTCTGGAGTTTACGGTACATTGTGGCTTGCCATAGTGTTACGGGAGCTCCACTGTCCTGTCACCGTCGGCATCACTGAGCGATTGGCATGGGCTGGTGACATGTCACATTTTGACTGCCGCAAATTTCAAACCACTATTTTCAGCGTATATATCTTCTCTCCGCTGATAGTGTAACGATGGTAATCTATCTCACTTTACTCTGCGATGAAAGATGGTTGTTAGAAGGACTTCCTTTTGAAAATGTACCGAATGACATAGAAGACGTGTAGCCACTGTTCAGTTTGAAAATGTCAACTGAGAACTGACATTACTTGTCAGTGTCAATGCAAGGTAACTGAGTGAAACATTGTAAATGTATTTTGTCAAGACTGAAGCGAATAAGTTTATCTTAATAATTTCTTTCGTGCTGAAATGCTGGCTGTCCCTTCCTGTTTTTTGCCCTGACAAGCCCCACGTTCTTTTTATGGCCATCTTTGTGTATCAGTACAACAATGAGTTAATAAATCTCCAACAGTTTTCTTCTTTTTCCTGCTGTCCCTTGGGGAAATGAGAGTTATTGCAAAAGTATGAGGCAAATTGCTGCCAAATGTAGCGTGAATATTCTCCTTGGCATGCACTGAAATCCAGCTGATCCCCTTTGCCGTAGACTAAAATCCACCTGATCCTGGATTTGAAATAGAACTCAATCCAGCTGATCCCGTACTGATTGTTTCTGCCGCTTATCCTGCCACTTTTGTAGTTAGACTAGTATCGCTGTCTATTGCACCAGATTGGTATAGAAACTTCCAGCCTAAATTGAATAACGAGATGGTCATTTATGACGGAAGTTAAATAGCAGCCTCTATCATGCTGATCTCTCTCCCTGACTGTTCGTTATAACGCTCTTCATCTGTTGCACCCTTTATTATCCTCCGCCTCAAAGCGGGACGGGGATAGTGGTTTGGAGTTTGTTCGTCCGTCCATCTGTCTGTCTGCCCGGGCCACAATGGGGACAAGATTTCTCTGAAACTATTATACCTAGAAGCGTGAAATTTGGTATGTTTAATAAGCTAGTCATGATCTACGTTGAGTTTGAAAATGGATGTCGAAGCGTATCTTTTTGATGGAGTCATGGCCCTTGATCATGGCGGGGGATAGTGATGACTCTGTTGTCTTGTTCATTCAGCAGTCTGATCCCTGGATGGACGCTCTATTGTTATTTAATAGCTCCTGCCTCTTGCACTCTGGGTATGAAATGGCTCTGGTGCATTGTTTTATTTGGTAGCCCCTGTCTGCCGGCATTTTAAAATCATATCGCATAATTTGTTTGCTCTCTGAATCTTCTCAGCAATTTGCAGACTTGGTATTTTTGTGTGCATTTTCCTTGCGAGCGGCTAATTGTTTCCTGCAGTAAGTCAGGCTAGCTCTAGGGCAGAGCAGTAGTCATCCTCCGAGGATTTGAATCAGTTAAACTCCTCTATTTATCCTCTGGCATTTTCTCACATTGTTTGCAGGACTCTGTCATGGAGCACATGATATCACCAGCTTGTGATGTCAGCTGCTGCTTCCTCTCACCCCATAACTCGCAGGACAGCCTCTCGCACAGTCGAGTCCGAGGAAGACTCTAGCGAGTCTACAATAATAGACCATTGAGGGCCACTGGAGAGTTGCTGAAGTCCTTGCTAATTGAAATAAACTTGGGGAATGGGCCTGACATTTATGTATTGCTATCACTGGCACATTTCAGATATAGATTCCAGATGCAAAAATCTTAGCCCTTGGAGCGCCAAATAAATTTTCAAGGAATTAAGAATGTAAGAATCCTGAGCTGTTGAAAACCTATCATGTGTCAACTTGTTTAAAAGAGCTCCCCTGCGGGAGCTCTTTTAAACAAGTTGCCACATGATAGGTTTTCAACAGCATTTGGTATTGATATCTTACACCATTGGGCAACTATAGGTGCCTGTGGTGCTCAAAGGGTTAACATCGCATGTGCAACCTCAAGTCAGGACCGTTGGACTTCAGCTCTGCGTCAGTCTTGACTTCCTGTGGTCTTGGCATAGGCCAATTTTCAAAGACTGCATTCCGCGCCCACACAGGCAATCGCTGTCCAGCATTATGACCAATACCATGGTCTGAAACATGCAAGCATGATAAATATGCAAAAAATTGGAGAAACCGGGGGGAGGGCAAACGCCAAAATTACATCCAAACATTCCACTCCCACTTTTACCTCATAGCTGCAGTTCCTGGCTGCGTAGTCTAGTGGTAGGTTGCCTGACTGCTAACTGAAGAGTTCCTGGTTCAAGCCCTGGTGGAGTTTAGGACTCTGACTTGATCTGGAGACATGAAGTTGGGAAAGACTCAGCTGTTGGGCCCTTGAGTGAGTCCCTTAACCCCAGAAGTGCTGCATGGGCTTTACCCCAGTTTATCTCCATCCCTCTTCTCTCGCCTCTGCATCATCTGGCATATATCCCAGGGTGCACGCGAAAACAAGAAACATGTTCTCAATGGTACTTTTCCTGGTTAAATAATGCTGAGCTTAAAGAAGGGGAGATGGCGTCTGAAAATGCAGTATATTGCCTCCAGAGGGTGAGAGCTAACAAATTGCAGACGGAGGGAACATTAAGACGTAATTCCGTGGCAAGTGTTGAGTTTCAAGAGACCAGCCTGACCAAATGGGTTATGGGTATTTTTTGTGTCGTGTGCCCGTATTTGCTAGAGTTTCTGGTTTTTTATTAGCGGCAGGTAAAGGTTCTGAGAGGCATCTGTCTGATACCGTGGCTGCTGGAGGGAGAGGGTGAAGCCAGGTGCTGTTTCTGAGGTCGAGGTGTCTCGGGTTGATAATGGACTCAATTGATGAAGAGACTCCTCTGGTCTGGCAAGTGTGAGTTTTGTGTGTGTGTGTGTGTGTGTGTGTGTTGACTTGTGTAGCTATACTTGAGGTTGTTAGGACATTTTGGGTGGTCTCCTCACAGATAATTATGGAGGATAATAGCTAATAGGGTTAAGTTTGGGTTGGGTCAAAGAAAAAAAATGCAAAAAGTGTGTGGTTCCTGATCCCGACCCTACCTACGTCATTAGGGCCGACCCTAAAGATTTTTCTCTGTTTTCAATTTAAAATAAAAAGAAATGAAGCCTTCTCCTGATGTCTGGCACAACTGATTGATCGCATCGCTTTTTTTCTTGTTCGCTGGTTTAGCTGTTTTGCGGTCCGTCGGTATTCTCCAGCAGAGCCCCAGTGCAAAGCTCCGTACAAAAGCCCATTGAATTCTTGTGAGCTTCTTTCCTCTTTGTTGTTAGTTTTCGAGGAGAGAGTTTGTGAGATTGACACTGAATTGAAAAAGCGGTTGAAAACAGTTTTGCTGATACTGTATGTGAGAGCTTGCAAAGCTGTCAGCAAAAACAGTTCTGTCCAGAGACCATATGGCAAATGTCACAATGACAAATGATTTGACTTGCCAAAATAAAAACATTGTCGCTTTGTAGTTTAATTTTTCCAGTCAAAAGTTGAAGTTCAGTTTTAGTCATGGATTGTTGTTGTAAAGATGTTTTCTTTGTTATTAGTTTAGCTGGATCAACCTGCAGTTGGAACTGCTGTTAATGCAATGAAACATGTTTGGACACCTAGTCCAAAAGAAACCTTCCTACCCTACCCATTTTTAATTATAATAGGAAACACACCTTTTATTTTATTTGGCCTATGGTTACTGTTGGTGTTTGGTTGAGGTTGGGGTTAGGCGTAATCTTGCTACGTTTAGGGTTGGGGGAAAAGCTACACACAGTGAATGTAATGCCATGCAAAGTCCTCAGAAGTGTAGCTGTAGGAATGTGCGTGCATGTGTTTGGTCTTTGGTCTTCATGCCGAAGTGTACTGAAGGTCCGCTGTAGTGGGGGGGGGGGTCGGCTGCAGGTTGGCACATGAGCAGTCAGTCTCTGCATTGGCTGGCGACGGAGAGCCCCTCCCCTCCCCTCCCCTCCACCCCCACCCTCTCCTCAGCATCCAGAGAACCATCAGGAGCCTGAATCTCTCCTCCAGCGCTCTGTGTATCCCACAGCGCGCGCGAGTGTGTGTGTGTGTCTGCGTGTGTCTGCGCGTACCCAACCGCGCACGCCTCGGTGTCTGTGTGTGCGTGTGTGTGTCAGGAGCTGCGTGTGCCGATCTGAGTCAGAGGCGCGGCGTCCGTTTGAGCGAGCAGTGGTAGCTGGGGGAAGAGGCTCGCTGAATGAGGCTCGCCATCGTGCTGGGTTAAAACGACGCGACACGCCGGTGAGTTGCTGGGGATCGCGGCGCGTGCACTTCGCTCTCGTGCCGTTTGCCGGTTCTGATGTTGTTTACAGGGACCGCTCCAGACATTTGGGAACTCGCCACATCCTTGAATTTCTTTACTCGCTCGGTCCCTTTACCTGACAAATGAATAAGCTTGTTTGGGTTCTGTTGCCGAGGTTTCTTAATTCTGTTTTTTTTCTTCAAAATATCTAATTTTGCTCATTCAGAAGGTCTTTTTCTTGAATTAACGGGGTGCTCATGGTGCTCTCTGGGAAATCGAATGCATGTAGATTTCCCATGCCTGTGTGCCTTCGTTTTACATTCAGATTCATCCGTAAGCAGTAATTCATCGAGAGGAGTCGCAGTGCAATCTAATGAATGGAGAGTGCATGGCTACTTTGTTTAAAATGCCGAGCAAGATTCAGGCTGCTTTCATATTCTTCCTGGATCTTAAGCTGGCACTGCTTCCTGTTGTACTGAAACTAAATGTCATTTTGAAGCACCTTTTTATGGATTTTCTTTTAAGACTTATCAAAATATTTTCTTTACCTAAATACATTCAAGGTCTCCATCTTCTCCCGCCATTCTTTCTCAAAATGAGTGGGTTTTTTATTTATCCTTTTTTTTAAGTCCATATCATTCAGTCCTCAGCATTGGGCGCTTTTGATATCCGCTCTGATTCGTTCAGGATAGATTAGGCTGCAGTCAGTGTTCCTTTGCTTTTCGGACGTTTGGGGTTTCAGAGGGAGGACTGCTGGAAAAGACAGGACGATTACTTGCCCACTTAATGCGATTATATGACTAATGCGTGGATGAAAAAATCTTTGTTCCCAGTTGGTGTTTTCCCTTGGGTGAACAGTTTTGTGAATGCTCTCGAATGTGTTTTAGTGGGCGTGTGTCACTGTGTTTCAGCTGACTGTGGTATTTTCTGGTCTAGGAGAAGAAGACCTTCAGAATATACTGTGAGAGTGTGTGTACCTTGCACTTCTTTGCCCTTGTATACTTATGTATGTGTGTAAACTAGTGTATGTTCCTGTCCGTGCTTGTGTGTTTGAATGTATGCCTTTATGGATGTGTGCTTTGTATATGAGTGTATGTGAGCTTGTGTGTGTGTGTGTGTGCGCAGTATTTCTGTATTGGGATGCCTGTGATTAGGGCTGGTTCTGCCTTGGCCTCCTGGGCTTTGTGCTTGGGCAGGCTGGACCTCACAGAGGTCTATGTTAGCGCAACAAGCAGTTCTGCATCATTAGCTGTCTGTGTCAGGTCAACACAGTCTGAAGCAGGAACCTTTCATTAATGCAGAGATAGAGGTTCCTCCTGGAACTTTTCATTAATACAGAAACTGTGGTTCCTGAAGGAACTTTTCATTAATACAGAAACTGTGGTTCCTGAAGGAACTTTTCATTAATACAGAAACTGTGGTTCCTGAAGGAACTTTTAATTAATACAGAAACTGTAGTTCCTGAAGGAACTTTTCATGAATACAGAAATGGAGGCTCCAGCAGTGTCTCTGGAACCTCATGACTCAGATTGTCTTCCTAGTGACTAAGTGACAAGGTTCAGATTTGCCCATCACATATATTCCATACGGTCGTGAAACGGTGTACATGAATTTCATCCAAACATATTTAGTTGGATTTAATTTATGAACATGTGCACCCAGAACATTTTTCCATAACCACAAATTAGTTAATTTTGAAATTACCTTACAAATCTTTGTCATTTCTGATAATATCCATCTACAAATTCAAGACTTAACGTATTGGTTGCATGCTGAAAGCCAGTTACAAGTATTGCTAAGTGGTTTGCAGGGTTTTGCATATTGATCGTAGTAATTTGATACATTCACAGTTTGGTCTCTTGGCTTAGAGAGAGAGGTAAGTGAACTGCTGCGCTCTGGACCAGTCAGTGAATTTAGACGTGTGGCTGAGTACATTTTGGATGGACATGGACTTAGATTACTGGTCAAGTCGAGCTGCACTCTTTGTAACTGCATCAGTTCTCGACGATTTTGCTTGTTTGTGTGACAGGTGGCTTTTTCTTTGTTCATTACTTTCTGCCATCCTTCAAAGTTTTAAAATAAATGGAGTGGATCAGGATAAGCTTTCACTGCTGTTGACAGGATGCAGTTCAAAGGAAATATTCAGTTTTTATTGTGTGTGAGCGAGAGAAAAAGACAGAAGAGATTCTGTGTGTCTGCATGTATATAATTTTAAGATTCATTTTGTCCCAAGAGAGGAGGCTCTTGGAGTCATTTTGTTAAGATGTTGAAACGAACACTGAGCCCCAATGTCTCTGCCTCAGCTGTGCTCGGGGGATATAGACTTGATTCCTGTGTGATTGGGACATGCTCACGTGTTACAGTTCTCCTGCTACGCTTCTGTACGTCCACTGTATTTTCAGATGTGATGTATTAGCAAAAAAAAAAAAAAGGGGAAAAAAATTGATTGATGTGTATATGGATCTATTTTTAAATATCTTATGATGTTTTCTTGAGGTGACCTTTAATGGGATGGTGTCACAGTATTGAATTTTATCTTGAGCAGTTGTCGGTCCTTAACCTTTCTGGTATTCGTTTGTGTTACTGTATTCTATTGATTACCTAATTGATTTTTATTTTATTATCTTTTCGAGCCTTGGTTTTGTCATTCGATAGGACAGTGATTTTTCCTCAGAATAGCACTGCGAGAATGCACTGCGAGATTTTCTCGTGTATTTTTTGTATAGAAACCCTGGTCACACTTTAGATGAAGTGTTGCTCATAAAGGCTTTATACAGCATGTATAATGCCTTCATAAATGAGACATAATGTCTCCATAAATCATGCATAAGAAAATGTCATATTTTGTAAAGGGTGAAATTACTCATCCATATTCAGCATGTGATGCCAGATGTGATAATGACTATGTCACTTAGCTGAAAATGCCACCCTTTATCGTTTTAGCCTCTAGCTAAGTGACATTGTCAGTTATATGACATCTGGCAGCACATGCTGAATAAGGATGTGTTATTTCACCCTATACAAAGGATGACATTTGCTTTTTTATGATTCA